GAACGGAAGTTCGATCGCGATCGCGCCCGGGCACTTTCGTGCCAGAGACCCTCGTGTCGGAAGTGCGTTACTTTCGTCCTGTTCCTGCCTTCCGTCGGTTCAGTGTCCGATAAACTGGATATTGGATATTCCTGCGTTTGAGCTTTGCGAAATTACTCGTCGCATAGTTCGCGAATATCTAGGGCTGACCATTAGTTATTATATGTCTCAACAAATTATATTTGTCTATTTGTTATATCTCTTCTTTTCGTTGCGATGCTCTGAAAGACTTAAGAGTTACTTTATTTCTTTTTTTCATGACTTATAAAGTTATGGTGAAAAAATTAATTAATCACGAAAGACATTCCTACAAACATAAAGTAAAATTAAATTGAATTAACGAGTTACATTAATTCCCTGCCCCTTTCTAGTTGTACTTGGACATGTACGGGCATGTAACGCAAAATGTACTATACATCATACTAATAATCGATCTCACATCGGATATACCAAAACAGTCGTCGTAGGATATCTCTTTAAGAAGTGAGAGACATTTTTCAATGGTCTGTCGCGCCGATAAAGAAAGTTACCGCGCGCGCGTGGCATTGCACGTGCGACGAAGGTCACTCGATTTTTCCACCATCGTGAGACGACCGACCCATTGGCTAACTTTTTTCGCGCGACGGTCCACCCTCGTCGCACGCGCGTTGGAAGAGACACGGATAGGGTGGACACGACGTGGGTATGGGTGGTGGGATGCGACCGGACGCGACGCGACGCTACGCTACGCGACGTTCTTTTCTTTGCTCCTTTCTTGCCGCCGCGCCGCTGCTCTTCCAACCGAGGGAGGAAAGAGAGATAAAAGGACGAAAGGGTGGACGCGTTATTGCGTCGTCTCGGACGCTCCAGCGGAGCTCTCTCGCGTGAATGCTAGAGGCAGGTTGAGGAAAAAAAGGGGTCGCGCCTCCCCACCTTCCGGATTCATACTTCCACGTGTACACCACGTGGAAAAAAGGACGAAGCCAGCGTAAAAAAGCGGCGCGTGGGGGTTGCCCGGCTGGTGGGGAGCGCGAGTTGAGGCGGCCGAGAAAGGGAGAGAAAGAAGGGAGAGAAAAGGATGTAGGAAAGGGTGTCGGGTGTCGGGTGGCGTATGCGAGATTCAGCTACGAAAACCGGCGGCGAGAGAGAGAGAGAGAGAGAGAGAGACGGACGAAGGAGCGAGCAGAGAGGGGAAAGACGTTGGCAGAGAAGGGAGAAATAGGAGCTTAATGCAATGGTGGGGCAGCTACGTTAGATGAGAGAGAGAGAGAGAGAGGCAGGGAGGGAGGGAGGGAGAAGAAGGGAAGGAAGGGATGGCTTGGTTGTCTACTTCGGCGAGGAGGGTGCGTAAGACGAGCAGGATGACCATCGACCACCCTTCGCCGCGAAATGAGCATCAGCGCGTCCACTAGAAAGTCGACGTCCTCCGTAAGGTCGATGATCCATGTTTAAATCGCGATTTGACTTTCAAAACGTGGGGGGAAGGGAGGGGAAGAGTATTGGATGACGGATGGCCGAAGTGATCTGATGTATTCGAATCCGCTTCCCTGGCCCGATCGATGGATCCGCGACACTTAATCAACTGATCGCCATCGAGTTGCGAGCAAACTTCGCGCATTAATATCGGGAATACGGATCGTGAGCCACGTAACTTGGGCATGGGGCGATTCGTGAAAAGGGATAAAAAAGAATGCCTACCCCACTCCCCCGCGATTAGTCACGCGTGCGTTGCCATACGGGACACGAGGGAGGAGGCCATTTTTATACAACGGTCCCCCTTCTTTTTTATTCGTATCTCAGACTGTTACACCCCCTTATACAAAAGCCCCCTACAATTTTTCGGTCAGTCGAGTATCCCGATTCGTGGCGGTCGCATGTCGCGCGCGTCTCGAGACTTGTATACTTATCTCTTAAATGAGAATTCGTTGATTCGCAAAGGAGGATCGTGTAAAGTCTAAGTGAGTCTACGCGACGGAGATGATCCGTGACGGTCGGACGAAAAGTTTTCAAGGACGCACCCTTAGCAAAAAGAGAGTACACGAACCGAGAGCCCGTTTGTCCTGGCCTCGCGTACTTACGTACGCCGGAACGTAACCGCGGAGTGTAAGATAGCGATCGAGATAGACAAAGACAGATAATCGGTTCTTACGACTCTCTCCTACCCTCCTTCCGGGAGGGTTTTCTTGGCCGGGCGAAACGGAGACGGAGAGCGGCCCCACTCTCTTTCTCTCACCCCTTACGACGCTTACCCCCGTACGAGGCGTCGGCGGAGTCGGCGGCGGAGAATCCCCCACCCACCTGGGCGCGGGGTGAAGGGTGAGGAGAGTTTGAGGAAAAGGGGGAGATAGAGCGCGCGCCTCGGCGTCGTGTCTGGTGGGGGCAAAGGAAAAGAGGGGTAGCTTGAAAACTCCTGTCCTACGGCGGCCTCAGTTTTTCGTCCTCCCGGAGGTAGATTTTCGTCGTGGGTGGACGCGGCCGGGGTCACGAGTCGGTCCACGGTAACCTGGGCCCGCGCCCGGGCCCGTCGGACCCGCGTACGAAATCGCCGCGGTAAGAAACGACGTACGGCGAAGGCGCCCCGAGGTGGCCAGAAATTTCGCGGCCGCGCACCACCTAAGACAACGCCCCTACCCGAACACGCGTTCTTTAAGGCACGAGGGGGTGGCTTTTAGTCAGACGCACGCGGTCTGAGAAGCGCGCCACCACCGGCCCCCGACGGAGAAGGACTTAGCGTTTCTCGCGAGCCGCAGACCCGAGTCAGTTTCGGTTCCTCCTCCGTCAAGGACTCGAACGCGGAAGAGGAGAGAGCTTTTTCCCCCCCGTCGTACGTCGTCGTCGTCGTAGTCATCGTCGTCTTCGTAGTCGTTGTCGTTACCGTCGTCGTCCTTCGAAGAGGAAGAACAGTGTCTTGGCCGATACCGTGCACGAAGGTCGCGAGCAGCCGGACCGAGGTGCAACGATCATATTACGCGTATTACCGACCATCACCGACTGCCGCATCTGCCCGTCTGTCATCCGCACTTGGATCTCTCCAGTAAGGGATCCTCCGGATTCTTTCTCTCGGAATATCCTGCCTCGGCTGATCTTGTGTCGCGAGTTGTGTGAACGTAACGACACTTGGCGACCGTGCGTCTATGTCCGATTAATACACCCAATCGTCAACGCGTCTGCTATTTGCCTCTTTTTCTACTTTCGTGTGATTTTACTCAGTTTTCCCCACTTTCGGTCCGAGACCACCACACTGACCCACCCCCTCCTATTCCCTGTTCCGAATCCTGACATGCCCGGTACGTCATCGTCGCCGTCTCGACAGTGTTTCGTCGCGATCGCACACGCTTCGATCCCCTCTCGATTTCCGGTGTGGTACGATGTGCTTCGGTAAGATCGCGAGAAAGCGAACGACAAGAAGGCAGATCGGGGAAAGGACAAAGAGAATCTCGATCGCCGTTATCTCGAAACCTCGAAATTGATGGTCACGCGAATCATCAGTTTGATGCTCGTGGTTGCGGAATTACATAGCGGACAATAAACGTAACGAATCGCCATGTCGCGAGTAAACGAGTTAGCGATTATGTGAATATCTGCGTGCGTGATCATTTCGAGCCGTTAATTCAGCGGGTAGCCGACAATGCTCGTCACGTCGCGTAAACCTAGTACACGTCGCGTAAACCTTGTACACGTCGCAACAAATTATTTGGCATTTCATTGACATCATCGTCAACGCGTCGACCCTATTCATCGCTCAGTGACAGCCCCTACAAAAAAAAATCTGACCGCGTTTTCGAAAATAATTCGGGAAATAACGATGTAATTTGAAAATTGCAGCAAAAATATAAATTCTCGATTTAACGAAAGAACAGTAAAAAAATTATAATAATCGCGAACGTAATTCTACAGCAGTGAGCGGTAGTGTCATAGTGTGACATCGCGTTATTTGCCATGATGTTACGTCAATGTATAAATCGCAACTTCACGCTACATTCCTGAGAATATTCAGTGCTCTGGACATTTATTTTTATCCTATTCACTGTACTCTGATTTATTACTCATTGTTATATTGGCACTACTTTTATTTGAATAAATATTTGATTTATCGACATGTTACTCTCTTTCAGTTATAAACCTTTTCAGTTCTCCATACCGGCTTTCCTGAATTTTTGCATTACGCATGATACAGTCCCGTATCTTTCCCTTGTCAGTGCTGAGCACGATGCGACGGCAGATGACGTTCGCGCACTTCGCTTTCGCACTTTGAGCCAGACGATTTTTCTAAAATTCGAAATTAATTGAAAAATCGCGTCAACGACAATCGGTGTAACATAAAGAAGGACATGAATTTGTGTAATGTTAAATTATCGACACGAGAGCTGGATATGTCAAATGGGCGAAATTTACCATGCCGCTTAATTAGTGCGTGCTTCTGACAGTGCTGGTTGAAATTATTGTTTGTGTCGCAGCCGGAAGTGTAACCCTTCATAAACGTCAGTCGAAAGAGAATCGCATTTAACGTTACCTCGTAAAATCATAAGATGATAAAATCTCGAGGCTAATATCTTCCTGATATGATTCGTGAAATTTTATTAGAATTCTTCTAATTCGATTCACGTCGCGTTATTCGGCACTCGATATTTTTGCACTGCGACAGCTGATTTTAGGCAGTCATCTAGCAAAAATCAATGTTTTAAATAAATGTGAAACGCTGTTCTCACGTACCGGGAGTCAGAATATTTTACATCTTAATATTATCGACTTTATAATCGGATCTTAATATTATCGAGAGTCACAGTGAATTTTGTGACAGCCTTCGAACGGTCTAATACCTTCGAAGATGTCTCATTGACATTCGAATGCTTTCCTGATCGTGAATAAAACGTGTAAAACAGTTGCCTATGACGTAGAAAAAATTATAGTGTTGATGTTGAATGTTCGTCGTGCGTGACGTCGAACAACGCAAAAATGTATTTTATTTTTTTGGATTGCAGCTTCGAGCGGGAGACGCGTTGCAGCGAGAGATTCCCGCGTAGGAGAGGAAGACTGGACAAAGCGGAAGAAGCAGAATAAGACGAGCAAAGCAGAAGCAGAGAAGCAGAAGAGCGTAAGAAGACCGAGAGCCGAACGAGTAGAAGCGGGGTTGCAAAGAAGAAAGTGATTAGCGAATTGATCGCGCGTATCCGAAGATAGCGAGGAAGAAGATAGAGGACAGAAAGATCGGGAAAGTAGCTACGGAAGCGCAGAGAGACAAAGATCGAAAGAGATAGAGCGAGCGAGAGAGAGAGAGAGAGAGAGACAGAGAGAGGGAAAGAGAGAGGAAGAGAGAGAAAGAATCGGAAAGAAAGCTCGACAGAGAACCCCGCGCTCATACATATATATTTCAGTGTGTTCAAAAAACGAGTGTACCTAAGTGCAATATTAATTAAACCTAAACGATAATAAGAAGCAACCACAACTACCATCGACGATATCGGTAACGACGAGCGGTGATCGATAATCGAATAGAATTCCTTTTAAAGAGTTAAAACGCTAGAGTCGCATTTCGAGGAGGAGTCATCGACGGACGCGACGCAGAAGAAGACGATCGGAGGAAGTAGGCAGAAGCAGAAACGGAGTGACGGAAATCCCGGAGAGAAACGCTCTCGTCCCGCTTAAGAGAAATCACAGAACTCACCGATTCAGGCCGACGCGCATAACAGCGGACACCAACTTTTCGAGCCTGTTCGAGCGCGTTCGAGCACACGCACACACACGCACGCACACACAACACGCACGCACATCCAACATAACGGGGCTAAAATACTCAGGGCAAAACGGGACGAGCGGTAATCATCCGCGAGTGCGATTTCTCACCCCGAAGAGGAGCGGAAGCCCTTCCGACCGATAAACGATTCGCGTCCGCGTGGACTATCCTTCTCGTTCACACCGTCCGGGCTGGGCAATCCTGAATTTTAACCTGAACTTAAGTGTACGCTAGAGTTTAAGTTAGATAGACGAAGGAAAATAGACCGTTCTCCTATTTGCTGGAGAACGTTCGCTCGCGCGCGCAACAACTCACGCAAAGCACACATATAAATCACACATACACACACATACATTTACCACACACCCAATCATATGAGAACACACGGAGGAGGGGGAGAAGAATAAGAAGAAGAGAAGAAAGAAAAGGACCATCGAAGCCGAACCGCGAAAACGTGAACGAACGCAAACGTACGCGGCACGACAGCCACCTGCGTACGTAAGAAGTCATCACGATAAAAGACGCATTACGGACGTACAATCACCGATCGGCGGTGTTCTCGCGAGAGGCATCGCAACCGACAGCAACGACATAGGGGAGGCGCGATAGAGAAGAAGAGATCTGGGAGAGGATCCGGAAGAGGGAGTGGAGGAATCATAAGAGGAAGTTTCATGAGCCAGGCGGTAGGTAGCAGGGCCGGGAAGTCGCAGCAGGTGGCGAGTAACTGACGTTGCCCGCCGCCCACGTCGAAGCTCGGCGCGGCGCGAGGATCGTTATCGTTACGACGATCCCGAGGCTGAAAGGAGCGGCCGAGCGAGGAGAAAGGTAGGAAGGAACGGCGGCGAGCGCAGAGGTGTGCCGGCCGTCGAGCTGCTTACCGGAAGGGGTGCGAAAAAGCGGGCAAGCTGCGCCGGAAGGGGGTAGCCCGGGCTTCTCGCGAAGGCCTCAAAATTTCGGACGCGACGGCGGCCCTGGACCTGCGTGCCCAGACGCAAGCCCAACCAGATTTCGGCCAGCTAGACCACCAGCAGCCGCAGCATCACCATCAGCAACAGCAGCCGCCGCAGCAGCCACAGCAACAGCCGCAACAACAGCAGCAGCAGCCGCAGCATCCGCAGCAGCAGCACAACCAAAATCCAGAGTCGCGTCCTCACCATCACCTGCCACAGCAGCATCATCATCAGCATCACCCGGGGAATCATCTCCACTCTGGCGATTCGGGGGGTGGGATAGGAGGTGGAGGAGGAGGCGGCGGTGGAGGAGGTGGCGGCGGCGGCGGAAGTGGCGGTGGAGGAGGTGGCGGCGGCGGCGGAAGCGCCGGTGGTGTTGCTGTTGTTGCTGGCGGAGGACCGCCCGGACCCGAGCCGGACCGGTCCGCCAGAATTCACGACGAGGAGGACGAGGACATCACCGAGCGGGAGGACGAGGAGGAGGACGAGGATCCTTGCAGCTCGCCGGAGCCCGACCTTGAAAACGAATCCGAACCCATGGAGATTCAAGCCTCGGCTGTCACGGCGGCAGCCGCGAACCTCCACGCGCTACGCCAGCACGTATTTAAGATGTCGGATTACTGGCAGCAGCCGCAACGCGGTCCGCCTCAACATTCACCCGGCATACAGCATAGTCCAATCTCGAATTCGACGCAGCAGCATCAGCAGCAAGTCCAGCAGATGCATAGTCCGCTCGGGCAACAGCAGCAGCAACAGCAGCAGCAGCAGCAGCAGCAACAACAACAACAACAGCAACAGGCTGCGGTTTCGCAAGTGCAGCAGAACGCGAACGCGACCCTTGGCCAAACTGCGAGTCCTCAACAGCAGATGCAGCAGCAACAACAGCAGCATGCGTTATCGATGAACCAGACTAACCAGGGCCCGCAACATCAGTCTTCCCCGGCACCGACGACGCCGTCGCCGCAAGCGGATCATCAGGGCGCCATTGCCTCCAGCATGGCCCAGAGTCTGCACAGCCTCGCCCAGGCGCAGACGATGTCACAGGCGTCAAGCCCGTCTTTGGCGGTCCAAGCCGTCCAAGCAGCTCAGGCGCTCAATCAGAATCTGGGCCAGGCACTAACCCAAGCGCTTACACAAAATATGCAGCAAAATCTCGGACAAACCTTACAACATAATTTGGCACAGAGTTTGACGCCGAGTTTATCACCGCAACAGCAGCAACAACTGCTCAACCAACCGCAAAATCTAAGTCAAGCAAGCCAGAGCCTGCAACAGAACATCCAGAGCCAAGCGCAGAATTTATCCCAGACGCTACAACAGCAGGCGCAGAATCTCACGCAGAACCTCGGCCAGGCGCTTAACCAGCAGGCGCTGCAGCAGCAGGCGCAAAATCTCACGCAAAATCTACAGCAAGCACAAAATCTCACCCAGAATCTGCAGCAGCAGGCGCTCAACATGGCTGGCACCATCGCGCAGAACGGCGGTCTCGCCGGTATGAACATGTCGGGCAATCAGCAGCAAAATTCACAAAACTCCATGCTGAGTCCGGGCGCAACCAGCCAAGACTCCCACGACGCCACGCTCACGGAGAAGCTCGTCAACGAGTTGCAGGTGAGAAGCTGCGGGACGAACCAGAGTCCCCGAGTTTTACATTCGCGAAAAAAAAGTCTATCTCCCCCGTTCCACGCGTACATTATGCGCGCGTGCATACGTGTCTTTTTCTATTATCTTCCGCTCGCGCGCTTCGCGAGAGAAACGGACGGGTGTCCCGCGACTCTCCGTATCCACTGCGAAGAGAGCAGCGATAAATAACTAGGGCGAGGCGACCGCGATAAAAATACATAACGCACCGATAAATAGGGTCATTCACTCGCAGGCCGACAGACGCCGGACAATACTTTCAAGCGAGGTTTCTCTCCTCGCGGGGAAAAATATTTATTCAACGACGCTGTCGTCCGGCAGCGTCGACTGGCCCTAAGTATCGCGAGATATCAAGGTCCCTCCTACATGTTGACGTTCGTGTAAATAGCGCGGTTTCAACGCTTCGCGAAAGTTTGTCGTCTCGCACAAAAATGAGGCGCCAAGTTATAGAACGTGCGTTACTAATGCAAATTCTCGCTCAACGACATACCAAATGCCACTTCTAACTTATCGCCTATGTAACGCGTTGCTCGCGAACAACGTTTGTGTGGAAAACGAGCGGAATTCGTACGCAATAGCTTTTACGTTAATTTAGCGTCATCTTAGCGTTACAGAGTCACATGTCATCAACAATTTCGTCGGTTTGATTACGTGACTGTACTCAGATACGCTGACCACGGTTCGCACAAATACACAGACGCACGTACACGCACACATGCACACCAATAGGGTACGTTGACTTACTACATCGTACTAACTTACACGATCGTGGGAGAGAGAGGGAGAGAGAGTTTGCGGGTGAGTGAGAGTGAACGACAGAGAGAGTGAGTGAGCGAGTGAGTGAGTGAGTGAGTGAGTGAGAGAGAGAGAGAGAGAGAGAGAGAGAGGGAGAGTGAGAGAGGAAGGGAGAGTAAGAGAGAGAGTAAGAGAGAGAGACCGAGAAAGCACGCACACGTCAAAGTAGCAGTGCGGTCCGCAAATGCGAACGCGGCCCACGCACACCAATGCCGAGAGATGCAGATACGTCGTCTCCCGGGGTTCTTGACCCGCGCAACACAGATAATACCATACGCATACGTCATACGGTACGCCGGGAAGATGTTACCAAGAAAATATCGCGCCGTGTTTCTGCAACGGCATGGGCCGCGGAGTCTCGATACGATGAGGAAAAGAGAGAAAGAAGAGCGTGAGAGTGAGAGAGAGAGAGAGAGAGAGAGAGAGAGAAGCACAAAAAATCACATCGTATCTCCCGACAGATAGCGGAACTTTGAGATCGCGTTAGCAAGTCTGAGCATCGGCAATTTGTAATTAGAGAGACTATAAATATCGCTTACAGGAAGAACCGACAGAACCGAGAAAATCTCTTAGCATGGAGACGTTTCGCGATATGATACACTTTCGTAGGAATCTCGTTTTGCATTATCAAATGATTATTATCGCAAGTACCGATATTAATTTACACCTTATCGGCCTCGATCAAGCGACTCCGTAACTATACCTTCTGCGTGCCCACACGAGATAGAAATACTCATTCCGTCACGCCGTTCTCGGCTTGTCATTGCCACGACAGAACGCGTTTGTTTTTATATTCGAAGTAGCACTCGCGCGGACTATACCGTCCGACGAAAAGGAGCTTTGTAGTAGAGACGGTTAGTAGCGCCAAAAGGACGACGAGGATCAGGGACTAACATGAGCTATCCTATCTTGCCTGATAGTCTCGTGCCTCTGCGGCGGGGCTTGGAGGTGCAGTAGGTGCCGGCGGTGGTGGAGGAATGGGCAACATCAGCGAACGCACCCTCGAGGAATGCTGGTCCACCCTGCAGCGAGTGAGTTGAACACTCAGCCCGTTCACAAAATCCCTTTTATTAACGCTCTCCTTGCCCATGCGCGTGTCCCTACCTTAAGTTCCTCGCTTTCTCTCACCGACAGCCGAGGTTCTGTGTCGCTGCCGTTTTTTTTTCTTTTACATTTCATTTAACTTGTCGATCCTGCACGTCGCAGACGCGCTGCGTCTCGTTTCGCTCATTGACATTATTTTTCTTTCGTTTATCGACATTCAGCGCCATTCAGTTCGCTATATTCTGCCCGATTATGATTTCGCTTCCGCGCGAACTCCCCTGGAACGTCTCGTTTGCATCTCGATCGCTTTGCTCACTTATTCTGTTCGTCATTTTGATTTGGATGTTATCTTATTATTTTGTCTCTTTACCCGCTGGCATGTGTCGTATGTGTATCGTATATGTATCGCCGTTCATTTTGTACCTCGTCGGCTGAATGTGTCGCCTTGTTCCTGTGCATTGTGTAATAGTCTTACTTACTCGTAACTGACCGCCAGCGGCGGTTCGAACGATCCTCGTTCTCGCTCGCGCTCGTACTAACGAGCGCGTCGTTACATCACACTAGAGATTTAACGGATGACGCGTGGTATGCGGCGAAATGTGCGTCTCGCCGTACAGTAACGTTTAGCGCTTGTGTCACGCACGCGGCGAGAAAGTACATCGATCGGTAAGCGGCAATTTTTCGGTCGACTGATCAATCGCACTGATGTATCCGATCAGCTTGCACGATCGTCGACGCGAGATGCACATCGGGGCTCTTTTGCGCGACTTTGCGCCAACAACGTTGCAAGCACGAAAGTACGGGAAAAGAAAGCGGCACTAACGAGCCATGAATTACGTTAAACTGTCGACTGATGAACGGAGCGTGAGATCCCGGAAAGGAGAGTACGGCGCGGTAAAAAGGCGGGATACTCTCCCCTTCTTGCTGGAAACTTTAAAATTCTCAACCCCAGGACGAAACAACAATTTGTTTCGTTAAGTAGCCGCAGCGCTCTTTTGTTTTTGCGGCTTCTTTTATTTTAGCGGCGATAGAGGCGGCGGTCGGAGTGACGGCGGAAAAGGTAACGGGAGGAGGTGGCGGGAGGCGATGGGGGGATGCAAAAGGGGGTTGCTCGGGCACCTCGTTCTCCCGCCGCGCCGTGTTCCACCTCGTCCTTCCTTTTCTTCCATCGCCACCTTAAAAGCCGTCCCGCGCCGCGCGCGCGAAGCGAAACTTTCGGAAAATCGCAAAAACGCCGAGCGATGGCGAAGTTTCCACGTTTCCCCGAGATTTAATTAAAACATTCGCCTCCTTTGTGCCGTCCCCACGCACCGTTCGCGGACCGAACCGTCGAAGCGAGCCATCGTCCTTTCATTATGTCCAAGCGACGGGGACTGATATGAGTACCCTCTCGATAGGCCGGACTTGATTCTTAACTCTTAAAGCTTGAGGTTCATTAATCTGTTCATTAATCTGTTACGGATTTTACTTATTGTTAAATTAATATTATAAAATTATAAAAAAAAGATCTTTGCGCACATAGAGTTATATTATATCAATTATAATACAATAGGATAACACAGCCTCACGGAAAAATCTCAAGAAGCTATGTGTGCTTTAATTAAAATCTATAATCTTCGAATCTTCAATCAAATTTAATTCAACTGGATTGTTTAATTAAGAAGTGATAAGAATAACACACGCGTGTGCGATCAGCTGTTGTCTCTGACATGACGCCGTCCTGATAAAAAAAAATTTCGGGGCACTTGAGAATTTATTGTGAGCTCGTGGGAAAGATGAAGGGTTCCGCGGAGTAGAGAGGACGAGACGAGTGCGCCACGATATTACATAAACATTCGCGGAGAACCGTTCTCAGGACCGGGGGTGCACCCGCGTTTTTTTGTTCTACCTCGCGCTACCTCGAAAATTAAAATCCAATTATTTCGACGCCTCTGCTCGACCCGGGTCGGCTGATTCAAATGAATTTTTTGCCCGCGCTTCTCCCCAATTCGCTCTTTCAACGCGCGTTAAACCGGTTCGTACGGCGCAACGATCATTGCCAAGTTGCATCCAGACCACGATCCACCCTTGATCGATCCGGGACTACGATTTCGGATTGAGCTGACAGCTGCCAAGAGAAACCAGAACCGTAAGGAAAGAAGGAAGGAAGGGGAGAATGGGAAAATGAAAAAAGAAAAATCAGAAGAAAGGAATACCAAAAGAGACGGAGCTGCTTTCCAACGAATGTAAATTATTGTGACGTATTATCATTATCTCAATATGCATAAGAATCTCGGTGTAACAAACGTTTTTATATCGAGCTTTGCGCTGTATGGAAGCTAAAACATTTTGAGAATATATATAAACTTTTGGTTAAATAATTAAATAGGAAACGAGAAAGACTAACGATAGAAATTTAATAACTCACTTTCGATCGCTGCAGAATCGACAGATTTCTAATTATTTTAAGATATAACGAAGAAAATTAATAAAATGCAGGCGCACGAAGCGTGACGATAGTCGCAAAGTATATGATTTAATAATCGAGCGCGACGCGATGCAAAACGATCAAATAATGACTACGTTCTTTTCGCTTCTCTTGGCACGATAGCAAAAAACGAAAAGAAGCGCATATTATCTATTTGGCGGCGTGGATACATCTCGCTCCGGCATGCAAATCCCAAGGAATCTTTCTCACGTTGCGTCCCTCGGAGAAGCGCAAGCCTTTTTTTCCTCCTCATGCCCGGAAGGCTCCCATGTACTATTTAAATAACGGTTCTCGCGCGCGTGTCATTGTTTCACCGTTCTTTCTCTCTCAACGAGTAACCCTTTTGGTTACCGGGGAAAGGCAGAAGGAGGTGGAGTGGGGTTGTTCTGTTTCGAGTCGAGGAAGAAAACCGAAAGGGCGGATGACGGGAGAGGAAGGAAGGGGGGTCAAGTTCCGTGCCGGATAGCCGTTACGGCAAAGACAGAATTACGACGTCTCAAGACGAGGGGTGCCCTCCCCTCCCTCGTTTTATCCCTTTTCGCCCGGTCCCGAGCGAATCGTCACGGAGTATCTTGGCTTTTCAGTAATTTTCTATGATTTTCGGATCGCATGATCGGCAACAATAACGCGCGCGCATCCGCGACCTCTTCGAAATCGGCCTAATCGAATGCGTTCGATCGCTCGTGAAAGTCGGTGAATCTGTGGAAGAACGGCGGGTGATAATGGCGATGGAGATTTGTTTCAGAAATCTAATTTTCTCGGAGAAGACAAAAACGTTTCTCACGAAAACGTCGTCTATAAGTGACAGAAATAACTTCAAGACATCATTTCGCGAATGTAACTAAATAAAATGTAAAGTCAGAAAGAAAATAGCGCGAAAAAAGAGATATCAAAATGCACCTACTAGCGTAATTAGTAAAAAAGAATTTGTGAAAAATACCAGAGCGATAATAGTGACGGTAGTGCTCACAAAAGACTCAGAATTTTCACATTGAAATGATGATACGCAGCCCTTAATGACTTTCCATTCTGTTTCCACGAGTAATCGAAACCGTATGGATGCATTTCGCTAGCGGGCTGCATCAAAGCACGACTACCGTTCGCAAATGACATGTCAAAACTACGTGATCGGTACAAAGAGTCGTTTACGGCAGAGGAAGGTGGAAGATGCCGCGTCGCGACGGACCCGGGCCCCCGGCGCCGACGTGCACACGGTTCTTTCCTTTCTCACTTTTCTCCCCCATTCCCCCGTCTTTCGTATGCGGCTTCGCCGTGACCTACCCCAAACAAACCACGAGAAAAAGAGGGAAGAGGAGCGGCGTGGCGACTGAGCCGCGGGGGCGGCGAAGAGCGCGGGGAGAACGCGCAGTAGAGAAAGAGAGAGAAAGAGAAAGAAAAAAGGAGAGAGGGGCGTCAAAGGGACGGAGAGGGGAAGGAAGGGAAAGAGAGGATGGAAGAAAGCCGCATTCGCGCCCACACACGCCTGAGAGGTTGCAACACGCGGATGGCAAAAGAGTAGAGCTCTCCTCGTGCGAGAGAAGGAAGAGTGCGCGCGCGGAACGGGGAGGAGTACGCGGAACGGAGTTTATTCTTCGTGCTTTTTTTTATCGTTCGTTGACTCCGCGCTCCTCTGCTGCCGCGGCGAGAGTGCAGCGCGCTGCTCCACGATAAGATTGCACTCGCAGGGGCGGCCGGGAGAAAGAGATAGAGAAAACCTTGTTCCACGAGACAGAGCGAAATCCGCCCGCGCACGCCATGCGTACCCGACGCTTATATTACGTTTCAGCGCGTATATCGCGGAAATATCCCGTCGTGGTATGTTCGCCGGAGGTTCGCGGGGAATCGAACGACGAATTTCGCCGATTATCATCCGACTTTTGCGAGAGATTGCGATAATATACGGAGTAGAACGACGGGGAGACACGTGTTGCGCGATTATCGCGCTCAGGACAGAAATACACAGGCTTGAGGCTATTCCAGAAGCGCGAACTCCTTTTTAATGACGTATGCATATATCAACAACAGTCGTGGTATTTCCGTAATGATTACATACATTACATGGCGAAGAAGACAAGAAAACAGAAGGGTGAGCGTCGCAAAACATCGGTTCTCCGATAATAGACGGGCGAAACTTTTCCGGTGGCCCACGCGAATATTTGTTGCGGGCAATTATGTCAATTAGCGGCACGTATTCGCGCGACGAACCAGCGAATTCGTTATTGAGCGGGGCATGCGAGCCCGCGCGAAACCCGCCGCGAGCGAGTAAAGGCGACGACGAAACACACACACTTCGCCGAGGTAACTGACCTCAAAGTTTCCCATAATGCATGCACGATTATAGGGCAACGTAGGGACCGCACTGTTTTCGGCCTTGGTGCACGGGGCGATATTACTCAATATACGTCACGAGCGTGTATCGCCCGTCTATAAATTCGTCCATGTGTAATAATGCGGCGTAGCGAAGGAAATTCGCGACTCGCAAATAAATTCGCGTTCGATCCGTGGTCTAATTTTAAATTT